GCGGCGGTGAGCACTAGAGTGCGGGGTCTGAGGGCGGGGACTGACGGCGTCCTGAGAGCTTTTCCCCGAAACTGTCCAGGTGGGCTTCTCGGAGCCCGGAAGGACTTCTCAGAGGAGGCGCCGGGCGGCGGTTGCTAGTGCCGACTTCGCTCTTCTCCCCGCGCGGGGCCACCCGCGTGCCATGCACCCGGCCCGCGACTCCGCTTCCCCGGGCCCTCCCTAACGCCTCTCGTGGACCGGGATGAAAGTCTGGAGCGAATCGCCTTTTCACTGGCGAAAAATTTTCTCTCTGCCTTGGTCCACATCTTCGATCCCCTGCCCGCCCAAGGCTGCAGCGCCCCTTAGGGCCCCGCCGGCCGGAGCGCCCCGCGCGCCGCTCCTAGCTCTAGGAGTGCGTTCACCGGGCGGGGATCATTCTGATCCTCCACCGTCAACTCGACACCCGACCCCGGCAGCCCAGCCCGCCAGAGGCCAAACAGGTGAGTTGTAAGGGCAAGCCATGTAGCTCCAAAACAAATACTGGGGGAAATGATAGCAATAAGGGTGCGGAGGGGCGCGGCGGTCTAACCACGGAATAACTGGGCTGGTTCCTGGGCAGGTTTTCACTCTGCCCTCCACTTCTCATAATTTTGTAGGATTGTCCCGTGCCCGCTAGAGGTCACTATAAAGAGTTATTTGCTGTGGTTCTAGCGCGGATGCCTAGTGAAAAGGCAGACGCCTAAAAATTGAAGGGCTGTCTCTGACAAGCAAGAATCGCTCTGGGTGGTTCTTCAAGAATATCTCTGTTGAGTTTCATCCCTAGACTTGACTAATTTGTCTTGAAAGCACTTAATGTGATTAAAAGCTGAAAAACAAGACTTGTTTATCTGTGAAATAGCTAAGCAAGAAAAACATCCTGGAGGAAGTGAATTTCAAGACCAAATGGAAAGAGATGATGGCCGTGAGTTGGCAGAGGGAAAGAGCAAAGGATTCCAAATTGCAGCATCGCAGCTTGGGAGGATTAAAGTCTGTAAAGAAAGCGAATGCGTTCGCTTCAACTGCAGAATGTGGATTTCATCCTGTAAGCAGCGGACCCTCTGAAGCTATCCTAACAAATGGCTTGCAGAAAGCTTTATTTCCGGAAATGCTTTTGCCCTGTGGGTTATTCTGAGAAAGAGGCCACTCCAGCAGTCTGGGAATGGAAACCCTGTCCCCTTGTCAGTAGGATAAGGAAGGTCCATCATGAGAAATATAGACCAAGGACTTAGCAGGTCTTGGTAGTGGATTTGTTACAAGGCACAGGGATGAGGAAAAGTTTATAGATGTGAGGCAGAGATGAGTCTGGCTCACGCTAGCAAGAACGAAGTCATCAGGAAGCTGTTAAAAATATATTCTAGAAGCTTCAAACCAACAGAAGTCAGAACCGTTGTGTCAGAAGAACTATTTACTTGAACATTACTGTATTTATTTTCTATGTTCTCTATCCAAAATGCCTTTACAGTCTCTTGATTGTGAAGCAGTTGAAGAAACATCTCATTTTAAATTACATTTGAGCTTAGAAAACGCATTAATTTGATGACAGTGCAATTTGTGACTCCTAAGTGTATTTTCATAAAATTTTTAGATATTGATTTAAACCATTTCATTTGTTTAAAAAGTAATGTCTTATTTGATTTTAATATCATAACCACTCTGCAGCAGCAGTACCTAAATCATTTTCTTAAGCAAAGGCTGTAGGAAGATGCAGAAATGTTTGGCTTGTCTCAATATATGCATTTAGAAAGCATTCTAACAATTTATTCCTTTGTATTTTGAGAAGATTGTCTTAAGAATCATTACATTTCTATTCTCTTTTAGATCCAGGATGATATTTGGGGCCTTCATATGTAAATTTCTAGAATATTAAAATTTAAAGGCACCAGGCAGAATTCTAAGAGTCTGACAACCTAGAGGTTCTCTAGTCTCGATTATCAACCCATGCCTGGGTGAGGCTGTGTACACATGTAGTCCCAGCACGCTGGGAGGCTGAGGCAGAAGTATCACAAGTTTGAGCCCGCCCTGGGCAATTTAGCCAACTAACTAATAAGACCTTGCCTGTCTCAAAATAAAAATTTTAGGGCCGGGAATTTAGGTCCTGAGTTTGATCAACAGTAGGTGCGGGGTGGTAAAGAAGTGAGTTTGATCCCCGGTACCAAAAAAAGTGGGTGGGGGGCATTGCTCAGTGTGAAGACTCTGGATTCAATACCCAGTACAAATATAT